AGCTGAAGCATCTTCTGCAGAGTCCATTGTAAACACTGCATATTTGTGTAAATGTCTAAGACAGCCACTAGGGTGAAGCTCAGAAAACAGTTGCCAAAACAGTTGCCAAATTTATGGTGATCTCAATATTTAGCTAGGAGACCCCATTTGGAGTCGGGACCCACAGTTTAAGAAGCAGTGCCCTAAATCACTTGAAAAAATAGTTTTGGAGAATTTCCCAGCCTTCCAGGGCCAGGTGTGTGCGTATATGTGTAAGATTGGAGTAGAAAGAGGGGTTACCCTTTTTCTTGCTCCATTAGAATCCATTGCTCTGCCAGTCCAATATTCGACCCTGCCAAATATATATACCTCAATACTAGGAATTGGTGACACTAATAAAGAACCAATGAAGTGAGCATAACTGTGACAGAACTATTCAAATGTTATTTGAACATTTATTGGTAAAACCAAATGATATTTTGGATTTAATTTATGCTCATAGTGTTCTCACTGCAGCCCCTGGTGGTGGAGCAGCAGGTTAAACCACTGAGCTGCTGAACTTGCTGACCAAAAGGTTGGTGGTTCAAAGCCAGGCAACAGTGTGAGCTCCTGCTGTTAGCCCCAGCTTCTGCCAACCTAGCAGTTCGAAAACATGCAAATGTGAGTAGATCAATAGATACCGCTCCAGCAGGAAGGTGACGGCGCTCCATTCAGTCATGTCAACCACATAACCTTGGAGGCATTTACGGACAACACTGGCTCTTTGGCTTAGAAATAGAGATGTTGTTGTAGGTTTTTCGGGCTATATGGCCATGTTCTAGAAGCATTCTCTCCTGATGTTTCACCTGCATCTATGGTAAGCATCCACAGAGGTTGTGAGATGAGCACCACCCCCAGACTCAGACATGACTAGACTTAATGTCCAGGGGGACCCTTAATTTTTTAGTGTTCTCCCATTTCCCTTCAGACTCAACATAATACAATGTTATTGGTATCCACATTAAGAAGATAATTCTAAAGATTTAAAACTATGTTGATAGAGTGTGAACTCAATGTAGGCAGTGTGTAAAATACATGCATTGCAGGGAGATAAAAACATGCACAACAGATATGTAACATGTTAAAATAGATTTCCGTGCTCAAAGTATCTGCAGTGGTCCTTGAGGCTAGCAGTAAATGACTGTGACATAAAGGGGCAATGTATGCATTTATAACCATTATCACTTCTGTGAAATAATAATATGAATGTGTTCATAAACTAAAGAGGTCACATTTTGTGTCTTATGGCATGTGACTATTATGACTCCTAATGTCCTTGTATCGGGATACACATCTGCATAGATGAAGGTAGTTTCCAATGAACCCTTGTCTTTTAAAAGTTTTATGTGTAAATGGCCGAAGTTATATACCTTGGTGGTATAAGCAGGGCCTGCAGCAGAGCCTTGTTGGCATTTGATCATATTGAGGCCCTTTCACAAGGGAGGCAAATGAAGAAAGGTTTAGTATCAGTATTTATATAGCACTTCAGGTGTCTTCACATACATTGTCTCAGTTATACTTATAACTTTGTTGTTACTGTTGAGTGCCCTCAAGTCAGTTCTGATTTATGGCAACCCTAAGATGAACCTATCAGATTTGTTAGTTCATATAACTATCCCGTCAAAAATGGGGAAGGAGGTAAAGACTGAGATACTGTAGCTTTCCTAAGAAGAACAGATGTTACTGAGGGACTTCTACAGTCACAGTGTAACAGAGTACAAGGATTTGATTAAATGCTGCATCAGATATGAAGCAATTCTGATTGCTTTGCAGCAGTTATTAAAACTGCATTTGCCTTGCATGCAAGGTAACTGTGCTTTCTTTTGTCATTGCAGTTTGCACCCTGGTTCTGTTAGGTCTTTCTCACTTTCTGCCCTTGGCATCTACTGTACAAACAGAACAAATAGTGAAAACGGGCATCTTACACGATAATTTTGCCAAAGTAGGAGGAACCACTTTGAAATCTGAGCACATCAGCATACTCAAACTCTTACCTCACACCCATGAAAATAGAGAACCTAGGTTTTACTGCGCACTCCTATGTATATCTGCTTAAAATAAAGTCTTCATTGAGTTCACTTGGATTTAATTGCAGATAAATGTGCAGAGGATTTCACCTTTATAACTGTTTATAAGGGTCTAGATCCAAGGAAGTCATGCTGCCCCTCTATTCTGCTTTGGTCAGACTACGCCTGGAATACTGTGCCCAGTTCTGAGCACCACAATTAAAGGAAGATGCTGTCAAGCTGGAATGGGTCCAGAGGAGGGTGACTAAAATGATCAAGGGTATGGAGAACAAGCCCTATGAGGAGCGGCCTAAAGAGCTGGGCATGTTTAGCTTGCAGGAGAGAAGGCTGAGAGGAGACATGATGGCCATGTATAAATATGTGAGGAGGGAGCAAGTTTGTTTTCTGCTGCCCTGGAGACTAGGACATGAAATAATGGCTTCAAATTACAAGAAAGGAGATTCCACCTGAACATTAGGAAGAACTTCCTGACTGTGAGAGCTGTTCAGCAGTGGAACTCTCTGCCCCAGAGTGTGGTGGAGGCTCCTTCTTTGGAGGATTTTAAACAGGCTGGATCTGTCGGGGGAACTTTGAATGCAATTTTCCTGCTTCTTGGTTGGACTGGATGGCCCATGAGGTCTCTTCAATTCTTGTTGTTATTGTATGCCTTCAAACCACTTCTGAATCAGAGAGTATGACTTGCAACATCACTTTCCACGTATGAGGGGGGATTCAAACCCTGGTTTCCAGAGTCAAAGTCCACTGTTTGAACCACTGCACCATGTTATCTGTTAAAACAGTTAAGAAGTTTGCACATAGTTAACTTTGGTACAACTCTACCACACAATGCATCAGTTTTGTTATTCTTGTTACTTCATCACACTAGAGAAAAAATCCACTTAAAATCCGGTTTGTGCCTCCTGCAAAATTCTGGGGTTTGTAGTTTAGTGAGGCTCCTCCCTTGTGGTTGGCCTTTCTTAATAGGCTGAAAGCAGGTTGTGTGTATGGCCCCATCTACACTGATGCAGTTTCAAACGGCTATTGAAGGAAGTGTTTTTGCTGTGCAGATGATCACATAGGAAATCCTGGAGCTAGTCAGAGGCCCGGGTGGTGATTACACAAACCACAGAGAGCACTGGTGGGGCTTTCCTTCTTACACTTTCTGTGGAAGTTTGCCATAGTTTGAAGCCAGCTTCAAACTGCATTATATGGTCAGTGCAGATGGGGCCCATATGGTGAAGCTAGGTTGGTGTGTCCCCTTCCTTGCCCTGGGCTGCCTGGGAAGGGTTAATGCGTGGTCGGCCTTGGCTCTGCCTTTGACATTACCTGCTTTGTGGGAGCCGCCCCCCTCCCTTCCCTTCCTCTTCCCCTCCCTCCCTCCTGCTTGTAAATTTATGGGAATTGCAGCTGGTCGACTTGGCAAGCTCCCCTCATTAAGAGCCCCCTTTGAGAGCGGGCTGTGTTTGAATATTTCCCTAATGAGGACAGGACGGGGTTAAAAAGTGACCATTTCATGGTTGACTTGAACCTGCCTGCTTCTCTTGATGTGTCGCTGTGAAACGCCTGGCGCGGAGAAATCCCTCCCCCCCTTCTTGTTGGAAAAAATTAAAAAAGAGGAAAAAGGTCGCGGTCCCTTCAGGACAATTTGGAGGGAAGAGGGGGGAGATCCAGGGGACGGTTTACCTGGAGGCCTCCCTCCCGGGTCAAAGTCTCCCCGCCCGCTTTGAGGGATCTGCGGCGCTTGGGAAAGAACGTGCCATGACCTTATTCTGCAGGAAGGTGTTTGGAAATCAACAGCCGGCTGGCAAACTTCAAACTTCGGACTCGTCCCTTTCATCCCCCAAGGGGGGAGCTTTGGTTTCCTTAAAGGAGGGCCCCGTTTTGTTAAGAGTCCTGCCCACAGTCTGTGTAAAGCAGGCATGGGCCAACCTCTGCCTTCCAGGTGTTTTGGACTTCAACTCCCACCATTCCTGGCCTCAGGCCCCCTCCTTTCCACCCCTCAGCCGCTTAAGCCCATGCCTGGCGTAAAGACACCCCCCTCTTACACACATTGTTATAGTTGAAGTCCAAAATACCTGGAAGGGCAAGTTGGCCCATGCCTGGCGTAAAGACACCCCCCTCTTACACACATTGTTATTTAGTGGCCAAGTTTCATCCTCCTCCTCTTCTGCGACCACTTTAGGGGTGACTTTCCCCCTTGTGAGGGAATGTTGCCCCCCCATAAAGAAAGAAGGCTTTCCTGCCCACTTCCTTCCATTCCCCCCCTTCTTTCTTTCTCCCTCCCGCCTCGCTACTGTCTTGAACTTGGGCGACGAAAGGACTTGAATGAGAAGGAGGGGGGTGAGGGTTTAAGGGAGTGAAGGCGAGATGGCAATGCTTGCAATATGTGCCGCTTGCTCCAGGACGGGAAGGAAGGGGGGAATAATAAAGAGGCAGGACGAGAAGGGAGAGGAGGGGGGGCACTCCGAGAGAGTGTTTGTGTTGAAGAGGGAGGGGAGACTGGAAGAGAGAGAGAAAGAGAGAGAGAAGGAATGCGTTTGCAGCAGAGGAGAGGAGGGAGAGGACTGCGCGCGCCGATGGTGTAATTAAATAATAAACTGCAAGTCGGATTTGGAGGGAGGGGGGAGAAAGGGGGGGCGATCAAGGAAAGTGAAACAACTCCCCTCCTTCTCCTCATCCTCCTCACTCTCGCTCACTCTTTTTTTTCCTGAAAGGGAAGGGAATGAAGAAAAAGGGGAGGGAGGAAGAAGAAGGAGATTGATCGTTTTGAATTTGCAAGAGATCATTTTTTTTATTACAGGGGGAGGGGGGCGTTTAAGCGAGAGGGGCTCTGAACATTATCCACAGAGGAAGGGGGTGGATAGGGAGAGGAAGAGAGAGAGAGAAACACACGAGAAAGAAACACAGAGAGAGGAGAAACACACACACACACAGAGAAACAGAGAGAGAGGGAGAGGAGAAACACAGAGAGGGAGGGAAGGAGAAAGAGAGAGAGAGAGAGGCATAGGCTTCTGCTGCTGTGAGGAGAGCCCTTCGGCGGCAGCAGAGAAGAAGTCGAAGTGTTTTTGCCGCCCTGGGGAGGCGCGCGCGCGCTCCCGCTGCCTTCCCTCGCGCACAGCCGCACACTCCCTCTCCCTCCTCCCCCCCTCTCTCTCCCTCCTTTTCCTTTCCTTTCCTTGCAAAAGTTTCGCCTGCCCTCCTCCTCCTCCTCCTCCTCCTCCTCCTCCTCCTCCCTGCCAGGATCCTCCTGCTCTTGCTCTGCTCCGCTCCGCCGCCGCTCCAACCTTGAACTTTTTTTTGGCAACGTGGTTTGACACAGGACCGTGGTGCAGCAGCAGCAGCAGCAGCAGCAACAACCCGCAAGCAGCGGCAATAGCTTCTCCTCCAAATAGAGAGAGAGAGAAACAGGAGGGGGATTAAAAAAAAGGCAAAGCGAGGAGGGAGGGGGGAAAAAAGAGTCCTGCCGCCCCCTTCTTTTAACTCCCCCCCCCATATTCATTCCGAGAGAGAGCGGGAGAGAGCGCGCGCGCCAAAGCGGAGCGCGAGAGGCTTCGGAGTGGGTTTCCCGCGGGAAGAAGCCCTCTCCGTCCTCCTCTCTGGAAGTGCGGGACTGGCTTGAGTGCGCGGGGTTCGGGCTCCAAAATGCCTCGGTAAAGCAGGCAGCGGCCACGACCCGCTTCTTGAGCCTCTTCCCCGCCTCGAAGTGCGCGCCTTCCGAAGCAGCAGCAGCAGCCGCAGAAGAAGGCGTCATGATGTATTCGCCCATCTGCCTCACTCAGGTACTTGGAGGAAGTTGGCTGGTTGGGCGGGAAGAGTGCGGGACGCTCGCTCCTTGAAGAGGGGAACTTAAGACACACACAGAGAGAGGCCAAGAACGAGAGCTTGGGATGGCCATCAGAGAGTGGAGAGCCCAATGGCTTTGGGAAACGGGTCCTGACGGATCTCTCTTCCTTTGGCAGTACTGATATGATTTTGGTTTGCTCTACCTTTAGTTTGTGGATCGGTGGGTGCTTTTGTTCTGTGTTGAACTTGCTCCTCCAAAGAGCCTTTATGTTTCCCTCGCTTCCTTCAAGGCTCGCAACTTTCTTGCAACCAACCCCAAGGTCAAAAGCGAAATCTAGTCCTTTCGGCGGCATGTCGGCCTGCGGGCATGCAATTGTAGGAAAAGTCTAGTCTAGATACCTTGCGTTAGAGGCAAACTCGACTTTCCCTACAATTGCATGCCCGCAGAGCAAGTGTGGAGTCCTTTGGGGAAGACTGGCGGAGAGAAAGTTTGAGAAAGGGAAAAAGGAGGAGGAGGAATGTCGTGCTCGGGTGTAGACAATCGAGCAGAGAAGGTGCTTAGCTTTCCATGCCAGGTTATCATAATAGCTTGGGCACGAAGCAGAGATTCATTTGGGGCGATTCTGGTTCAGTCCTTTGCAGCTACATGCTGACTCTCAGGCTTCCCGTTTCACTGCATAGGATTCCAGCTTTCCATCTACATTACTGTGACTAATGTGGAAGAAGGAGAGCTTGGAGTTAATTCATATTTGCGAGATGACCGAAAGCCTTACAATTTCGGAACTCTCCTGCTTCCAAAGGAGCATGGCATTCACAGAATTATGAATGAAGATCTCAAGCACGATAAGACTTCTTCAATGACTGGATACAGTCCTGTCGCTTTTTTGGCTGACACATTTCTATTGTTTATATTTTGTTTGGCATCACAGGGTGATTAACTTAGGGATCTTTTCAGCAAGTAAATAGGAACTTCCCTGGGACAAAACAGGTGGAAAAAAGTATTATCGGATAGTTGAGCCATGGCAACAACCAGTATATCTCTTCATATAGTATTGTGGGCACGGATATGCCATACCTAAAGGTGTTTGACTTTTATTTCTTGCTTGGGTGTTCTGCTCCAAGTGGGATAGGTTGGGTTAGGCTCACCAAAATACTGAAGCTATTTGCTTCCTAGATCTTGCCAATTTAAGCACAGTTTATTTCTCAAAGTGGAATGGTAAATGCAGATTCTTTCTCTCTCTCTACATATATATGAGAGTGTGTATGAAGTTTGAAACATAAACATAAAAAGCTTGCATTCATACCATGGTTCATTACAATTTTTTGGCCTTATACCTTTTGGAATACTAGTTTAAGCACAATTTAATTCTAAAAGTATAATTTATACATTCAGATTCTCTCTCTATATATGTATGAAAGTGTACACAAAGTTTGAGACATAAAGATAAAAAGCGTACATTCATATCATGGTTCATTACCATTTTTTGGCTTGAATATTTTTGCATATGCTCTCGACATTCCTTAGAAAGTCACTTTTGGTTAAAGCAAAATGATACATATTGTTTGGATGTCATTATGTAGAGTCCAGTTTCTTGGTGTGTGTGTGTGTGTGTAGAAATACATCCACATCATGGCATTGCTAAGAAACAACTTTTTAATTTTTAAGTGAAGTCCATGGAATGTTTTCCTAAATTACATTTCTGATACGAATTGGTGCTGCATTTTCTCCTTAAGGCTGAGTGGTATATCATTTTTTGCTTGATATGCTGTAATGAAAAACGTAACCAAAAATCATTTTGAAATTCTGCCCTTCTTTCCACATTTACACAGTGGTTGAGATTGACTGTAGTTACAATGATCATGCTATATAAAATATTTGTACTAAGAAGTCTTAGAAAACAAATGATTGAATAAAATCATGCATGCATAAGTATTGAAATATATGATTTTTCTCTTTAAGAAATCCATATGAAAGTAATTTCTAGGCATCGGAATAGTTACTGTATTGTTAAATTGGGATCCCAAGTACACTAATTTGAGGCCACGTTAAGCTATAATAGCAACTGAATTGTAATTAGTCATTTTCCAGCTATGAAATTGATTTAAATATAATAGGCAATCCACAATAGAATAATGTCCATTCCCATTTCACATGATTCATACAATCCTCGCAGAGCTATTTTGTGTGTTCGTTACAGAGGTTTTTTCATAATCTGCTGTGTAAGTAACAAACTTGAAGGAGTTTCTGCGTTAATTTTGTGTAAAACGAAAAAATGCAATATTGTAACATGTCTCTTTGACTGTATCATTATGAAGTTAGCTGCTACGTTGATGGAAGTGTCTTCCTAAATTTATTACAAATGAATTGATGGCAAATTGGAAATACTTTCCCATTTCGTTATTCTGGAGATAATTTTTGGCATATTAATACTGAAATTGTATCATGCATGCACATACTCCCCCAATTCAAATTTATAAGTGGTTTCTATGTACTTTCTCTGCAAATTGTTCGTACATATGGCTCCAGCTGTGGCATGTGTTAGAACAGTTAAATACCTTTTAGCTTCATAACATTTTTTGTGTGCAAAATTCTGTTATGTTTCCCGCCACATGCAAATGCCACATACAACTTTATTTTGCATCTATCAGTACTCGATGCAAAAATTCAGGTTTCCTGAAAGGTCTTTAGAAAGTGTTTTGAGGTGAATTTATTTCATGTTGCATCTCCACTAGAAGAAAGTTTGAGACATTTTGTGTCAAATTATTTTTTTAGCATAAGTTTTAGCAGAGTGAATATAACAGTATCTGGTAATACAGCTTTATGACTGAGTTTGGCTTTCCTGATTTATTGTATCTTTACTTTAAAGTATACGTCCCATATTAAAAGTGCGATGACACCACCTTGATGATGACAGGCATGATTTCAAAAACTGTACATGTGGCGTATTCTCCTAATTAGTAACCCATTATATAGTTAAATATACCAAATAAGTTGCTTTGCTCGTTCAATAATAGCAAGCACTCTTACCATGGAGTAAGTCCCATTGACTTCAACAGGGTTTATTTCCTGTGGAGTCACTAAAATTGTGCTGGGTGTTATTACTTAAATAATTTAAAGTGGTGTCTTTATGATTTTCATAGTAAAATGCAATATACTGAAGTCTGAAACTTAGTAATACAATAGTACACTTACATGGTTTATTTACATCTTGCGCAGTCATTTTTAGGTAGCCCTGGGCAGCGTTCTTGCACCCATGTCCTCCTTTCTTTCAAACTGTTTGGTTTGCCACCCTCTTGCTATATGCATGATCAAAATCAGTTTTTAATGACGATTTTACACAGATTAGGTTCTAAAGGAAAGATTCAAACTGTAGCAGTCAAAAAAAGTTGGCACCAGAGTGTGTTGAGATAGGGAAGTCTTATCCAGGGCTGTGGTTGCTCTGAGCTGTGCTGACTTCCCACACAAAGAACAGATTGTGGTTTAACTCTTTCCATGGTCTAGACTTTACTTTCTGTCAACTGTGCATAGTGGCAGAAATCTTCAAAAGAGGTTTTGGTTTCTTTAAATTATGATTATTTGTCACTTTGCTCTGTTTCATATTATAGTCATTTTAAATCATGCACTGTCAATCTGCTTGGGTTCATACCCCCCCCCCCAAGATCTGTCCCATGGAAAGGTATCATTTTGTTTTGATTTCCACCCCGATGGGAAACTATAGCATATACAAAATTTTAATGTTTCTATAGAAGCTTAGAACATTAATTTTCCTTACCTGAATAAGTGCATGCCATCTTATTCACATCTTATTCACAATTGTTCAGTAAACAATATTGGCGCTTGTATAGCTTGCTTGTTTATACCAGTTCCTTGGGCTTAATAATCAGCAATGTACACCAGCAACTTAATAATTATACTACCGTTGAAGATATACTAAATGTTTTTTATTTAATTTGCACCTCCACCATAAATATAATTAGTAGGAAAAAAATCTTTGAAATCAGTAAGGCTTACCTTCCAGTTAAATTTGTTTAAATATCAATATCACCATGTTAATTACAAGGCAGTTATACAATATAATAATTTTACTGTCAATATAACATGGGGTTGCACTTTACATTGAATGCATAGTATTAAGGGAAAGATAGGACAAGATCTAGAATAACTAAGATCTAGAATAACTCATAGAAACAGATGGGGGTTGAGAGAGAAACGCCATTAATTTGCCAGAGTTTTCTATTAATATTAAACTATTCTTGCAGTTACTATACTTGTTTAAATTGGTTTACTTACATAGTAGCTGCACATAAAACAGAAGTCCCAACAAATGTAATTTTTTTCTATCATATCCATTAACTGGAGTAAATACTAAAATGAGGCAGATCTATATAAATCTGGTTAAACTATGTGATTGGAAACTATAAATAGGCTACATGCATTTCAGAAAAGCAGGATTTATCCAGTGATGCAGCATTAATATCACCCTGTACAAAGAATCCAAAGTTTGTGCCAAGTTCTCCTTTTTCACTGTACGCTTCGTGATTTGTTATTTACAATAAGTACTATAGAGATTTTGAACACCACAATGGATTTGAGTACAATTGCTGAGAAACAATCATGTTATGTCCATCGTTAAATTCATAACTTTTTAATGTTACAGTGTTAGGAAGAAAAATGCAGTTTGGGGGGAAATTATGTGGCACAAAAAATGCAGAAAGCTTGATTGGAAGCTTCAATCCCTACTGTTTCTTCCTTCTCTTTTAGTTTTAGGTGTCTTATCGCATACTATACTGTAATACATTAAAAACTAATAGATGTTTTATAGTCTACTATATTATGATATAATATAAACTACTATATAGTTTATCTTAGTGTGTAGTAGGCAAATAGTATCGATTCTGCAGAAATGGCAGTATTTCATTATAGGAATGTTGGGTGATGGATAAGAGAGTGGATCATATTTATTAGTGCGTGTTCTTTTTGTTGCCATCCATCTCTTGCTGAGAGCATACTCCAAAAGAGGGAACTGTGTAGCATTATCTTGTGTTCCTGTATCATAGAGAAAAGAAATGAGTTGTACGAATTAGTTGTAGTCCACTTTTTCCAACATTTCCACTTTAAAGTCACAGTGCTGTCCTTTGTAAAAATGGTACTTGGTGCAATTGTTCATAATCACTTCCTGCTTGTAAATGTTAGAAACCTCCAGACACTTTATTTTCTTTTCAACTGATATATTTCTATGGCCATTTGTAGGTTGATGCTATACATATCTCTTCAAAGTAAAATAAAAGAATTGCCTTTGAGGGACGGCTCCTTTTCCGGGGCCTTTTTTGATTGCCAGAACAGAAATAACAGGACCCAGCAATGCTCAAAAAATTAAACCTACATTTCATTCACCTTTTTTAAAGCAAGAAAAATATGTTACTGTTTCCTTGCGATGGAAGTAATTTTCAGTTTTTGTATTCTTTTCCTTTTTGCTTCTTCCAACAGGATGAGTTTCACCCATTCATTGAGGCACTTCTTCCACATGTCCGTGCAATCGCCTACACTTGGTTCAACCTTCAGGCTCGAAAACGCAAGTACTTTAAAAAGCATGAAAAGCGAATGTCAAAGGATGAGGAAAGAGCAGTCAAGGATGAGCTACTTAGTGAAAAGCCTGAAATTAAACAGAAGTGGGCATCTAGGCTTCTCGCCAAACTGCGCAAAGATATCCGCCAAGAGTATCGGGAGGATTTTGTGCTCACTGTTACTGGGAAGAAGCACCCATGCTGTGTATTGTCCAATCCTGACCAGAAGGGTAAGATTAGGAGAATCGACTGCCTGCGACAGGCAGACAAAGTCTGGCGCCTGGATCTAGTCATGGTGATCCTCTTCAAAGGTATCCCCTTGGAAAGTACGGATGGAGAACGGCTCATGAAATCCCCCCACTGCACAAATCCAGCACTTTGCGTTCAGCCACATCACATAACAGTATCAGTCAAGGAGCTTGATTTGTTTCTGGCATACTATGTGCAGGATCAAGGTAGGTCATTTTTCTATGTGAATATGTCAAACTCTTCGGTTTCTTTTGTTTTAGTCAGTGTGTGTGTGTGCCTTGTGTGTGTGTAGTGTGCGAACGCACACACAAACACATTATGGATATATTGTTGCATAAATATGTACAGGCACGTGCTTATATTTGTAATTTATACCTGAGTGACATGCACATCTCAGAATGATTGCTAATATCCCTTATAGAGAAAGTTCAACATATTAAGAAAGTTTCATCAATCAAAAGTGTTAAATATTGATCTGTCTGTTTCTAGCATCACTGATAGAGGCAAATGCATAAAAAACTATATCCACACCATTCAATATAGTTATATGTACTTAATTGAAATGATTGCTACTTATGTCTGTTATCTACACGTTTTAATTAGATAGCATTCTGAACACTATAGAATGCTGGCCCTGGATCAAAGTATCTAGATGTTAATATGAAGCAAGTGTGAACATGTCATGTGTGAATACCTCATGCTAGTCACTGGCCTTGTCACAGTTCACCATGTGCTGTTTCTCTAAATATTGCTAGCAAATTGTAACTTAAATTTTATCACACATACTTTGTTTTGAAAAACATGACTAAATATGAAGGATACAAAGTTATTGAAAATTTAGCAAATCCATCAGAATTCTGTGTGCGCATAGACAATTGTTTTTCCAGTTGGATATTTTGGGTAATGCATATAAATAGATGCATGGGTTGTTTCTGTGTGTGCATTTTCAGATAGATGCTTCTAACCAACATGTAAAAACCACTGCAAAATAGGCATGTCTATGCTAGGAGGAAACTGAAATCATATTACGTTTGGAGATGACGGCTTTTTGCATACATTGGCCTGTTGTTGAAAAGAGGCCCAAAGCAAAGCAGATGGGTGGTGCTATTTCTTGTTCTAAGATAAAATAAAGGGCCTCTTGTATGAAAATTAACTGAATAATATATGAAATTAAAGCTAAAGTAGCTGTCATTCATCTTGTAATTTGCAGAAATGGCTCAAAACATTTTAGTATTCATACTACTTGTTATATGTGATGCTGTCTCATTTAGTAACAAACATGCTAATTTCTAACCTTCTATGAAAAACAAAGAATGGTAAGTTTAAATTACAGCATTAGTGTGTATGTGTATAATGAAAATATTTCCCTTATCTCCTTTTTAGCAGTGGCAAGTATTTACCAAGTCTAGTGAGGGCCCCAATTCACAGTATGTCTTTTAAATCTCACTAAAAGAAAACAACTCAAGTTTGAAATTTAATTGGAAATTAAACACCTATTTAACTATGCTGAAATATTTTCATCATGGTGCAACTTTTGCTCGGATATTCTCATAAATTGTGATCCTACCAATGCCTAGTAGTGAGTTGGGCTTTCAACAGGTACCTACTTTGTTGGTAGTGAGTCCAATGCACTAAATACTGTGTAACTCCAGTCTGAATTTCTGAACAGACATGTTCTATAGGTTCCATTGAACTTCTGAGTAAACACTCACAATATTGGGCTGTAACCGTATATCTCCTTTCTGGATAATGAGTTCTATTAAGCGCTGTGAAACCTCTTGGTATATAAATCTGCTGCAAATGACATAAGATTATGCTTCAAGAAGAAAGAGAATTTGCTATGAAGTTTTCCAAATAACTATCTCAAATATACATTTTGTTCATCTCTACGTGTATTTGAAAAGGCTAAAACCAGTTGGTTTTATTGAACTGACATACTTCAGCTACTGAATCAATTATTGTCCATCAGAAATCATCAACAGTTGAAAATAACCTAGTTAAAGCAAATCTTGTAGTTGTTTACATAGAGTTCTTCAGATGGTGTGCTTTCAAGCTGATGGATCAATAGCTTGAATTGATGTGAGGGCTGGGGTAGATGGTTGACTGATGATACCATGTAAGTATGTTATGTGTTGATGGCATGTGCTTGTATAATAAGATTTTTTTAACACTTGAATTACCTAAATTGTTTCCTAATATTGCTCCAACTTTTCAATATTTTTCCAGTTACTGACCAAAACAAAACAAAAGAATGAAAACACGAACCAGCTCTTAGATGCTACATCTGTTTGCATCAGGCTACTTGTGGGAGACCATTATTTTTATTTTACAAACTGTGCATCTAGCTTGTTAGCTGTTTTTTTTAGGAATCTGTTAAACAAGGAGTAGCTTCTGTATTTGAAATACGTTTGCAGTCATTTTCCTTTATTGTAAAAATGACACTTTCTAATAGTTGTCAGAATAGTCTGCTCTCAATTTTCTCATTTTGGCAGGCAACCCATCAAAGGTTGCTAGGATTGCAAAAGATGTAAAAACAGAGTCGGTTAAAGTAGCGGCCATTTCATAGTTGGTGGGTTTTGTATTTTGGAATCGGAAAATTTATTTTAAAATATCTCATCAACAAAGCACAGTAATTAATAAGGGGTACATGGGTAGGGGTCCATGAAATTAGGATAAATATCTACAATGAATGAAAGGATCAAATAGGGTTTGTGCTTAAACGTTGGCGGAAAGCATGAGGAAGAATAGTTTGAGTGCCAGTAATGGTTGCCAGTGGCACCAGGATTGGCATCGGACCTTCTTTGTTTAGCCTAGGATGCCTGTGATTTGTTGGTTGGCATCCGCATTGCAGAGCAGAGCAATGTTACAATATATCGAGAATTTCCTGATCTAGAAATGTCAGTCCTTTTTGTGATTTGACAAAAAGGATTCTTCTGTTTGCTTCCACATCTGTAGTGGACGAAGAAATACAAGCACGTCTTCCAAGTTTTGTCATTGATTAGCTTTATCTGCTTTTTTCCTCTTAATTTTCTAAAAATCCTGCCCGTCTTTCCTTTGCCGCTTTACTCTTTTGCTTTGTTATGCGTTTTGACTTGGAATTTCAAGACAGATGAGAAATTAAAAGTTACTGGATGTGGTTATGTGTTCCTGTCACTTGTTTGGGGCAGAAAAAAAGGGCCAAAATGATTTATGGTCTACAGGTGTTTAAAACATGTAGCACTTAATTAAATCATTTTAAAAATTGATTTCCTTCTTGTTCTAGAGTGTTTTGTATTCATCTTAAAATTAAATGTCATCACCACTCTGTTTTGCTTCACAGGGTTAGGAATTATTTGTTTCTCTTATTTGGTATAAGCTGTTTCTTAGTCCATAAAGTCATTTGGTGTATTTGATTCAATCAGTGCAGCTCTTGTGCTCTGTTCCGTTTCTACAAGAACCGCCATTTTGTTTGTCAAGTGCCAGCCGAGTGGGGGAGGAAAAGCAGACAATGTGCTTGATGCCAATAATGGTTGCCAGTGGCACCGAGGTTGGCATCAAACCCTCTTTGTCTAGTTGCTGAATGCCTTTGATTCGTTGGTTGGCATCTGCATTGCAGTGGGCACATTGGAAAGTTTTTGACAATCGCTGAATGAAAGCTGCTGTATTTGTTTGCTGCAGTAGAACTTTGGATAATAGAAATCCTTCCTCTAATAGATAACTTTTTCATTTTACAGTAGCAGATTTCTAGAGTTGTGCTGCTTTTTTAAAAAACAAAACACACATATTTTTGTGTGTTAAAGTCTTTTCTTCAGTGTTTAATCCGCGTGTTATCTGCTATTCTTGTGTATTTTAAATGTATTAAATGCAGTATAAACATACTATGAAAGTCATCATAGATACATAAAGACATACTACTACTACTACTACTAAAAATAATCAGAAGTATATGAGGCATTTGTAAGTCTTAGTATGTCTCATGTAAATTCCGCATTTTTCATAACGTGGTTATATACTACTGTTTTTCTGTTTTAGTATGACGTTTAAAGGTAAAGTATTGGGGGCTGTGTTTTGTTGCTTCCATTTATAAACCAAGATTTGCATTCAGCAGATATGCATTAACAGCAGATAGGTGTAGTTCTGCCAATTCTGTTGCTGTTATGATACATTTGAATTTCTGTGTTTTAAAAAGCCAAAATACAATTTTGTGTTAAGTTCACAGACTGGTTACCAGAGACCAATGAAAAGTCTAAACCATTTCTGCTGATGTTTCCTGAACTTAGCAATAATATTGCTTTCCGGCAAACTACCATTATCTTGTTAATTAATAAGATGGATTAGCAGGTCTACCCAAAGGGTTGCACTGAAGGAAGTCTGGCCTGTGTGAGCCCCCTGAATCGCCAGACTGTGTCTTGTCTGGGTTTCTGAAAAAAGAAAAGAAAACAGAGATGGGAGGAGGGGGATGGGTGAAGGGGTGTGTGTGAGGAGCTGATCTTTCACTGGAATAGGAGAAACTATATTTGAAAAAATAGAGCTATCACAATAAGTTAAAAATTACAGATTTTGTTTTCTTTATAAGGGCAGTACACATAAGCTTCATGACAGTATTCTATAGTTTAATAAATACTTACAGAGATGTATTTTGTCTTGGTAGACTGGCAATACTTTATATTATGAAAATCATTTTCCGAGGCTTACTAAGATCATTCCATTCTGCTTTGCATGGCAATTCTGCATTAACTTGCACTTGACCCTAGTATTAGGCTAACTAAACTGGCAGCATTACTTTCCCCTTCTTTCCCTGATATAAGATACACAAATCCTAGAATCTTTAAGAAGATGGTCACATATTTTGGCTCTGCGCCATGAGATGCAGAGCCAACCTTAAGAAATGGGGCCACAAAGTGGAGTCCACGACATGCAAGTGTGAAGAAGAGAAAACCACAGACCGCCTATTACAATGCAGCCTGAGCCCCGCCACATGCACAATGGAGGACTTTCTTATAGCAACACCAGAGGCACTCCAAGTGGCCAGCTACTGGTCAAAGGACATTTAATACAATGCCAAGTTTCTTTTTACATACATTACAACTGTACCCTTGGTTTGCTCCAGATATGATAAATAAATATTTTGCAATTAAATTCAATATTTTGCTCTTTTGGCTTCTGCTGATGTGTGTGTGTGTGTGTATAAATATGGCTTATTGTTATAGACGACCTTTAAATGTAC